GAAAGAATAGGAGAACAGAGGACTCTATGGAAGTCAATAAAGAATAGGCGAGATAGGTTGGTAGGACACCTTCTCAGGCATGAAGGTCTAGTCAGAGACATATTAGAGGCAGAAACCGGAGTTAAGAGGGGTCGAGAGAGACCTAGGTTAACAGTAAATAGTCAAGGATGTGGGTTGTTCTAGTCTAAGGAAAATACGAAGTTTAGCTCAGGATAGGAAAGAGTGGAGGTATGTGTCCAACCAGTCTTAGAACTGACGACCTTATGATGATGATGAGAGGGAAAATATGTATCAAAATGGCTTGCAGGGACTCACTGAGTATTTCGACTAATAAAGGGTTATGATTTCGATTAATGGAGATTTTGGGGCTTGGAGGGAAGGGAACAAAACATTTTTTTGAATTTTCGAGGTTTTCGACTTATCGAGGTTCGACTTAAAGAGGTTCTACTGTATTTATATCACCTTTAAACATTATAACATCAGTACTAATTTATATTATAAGAATAAAACAAAAGCAACTACCTTCTAATCTTATCGTTAGAAAAAACCGAGAAAAAACAAATCTAATAGCATTTCATGATCAGAGCGGACACATTTACAATTATGCTAATATCAAGAGCGTCGACAATCGTCTGATCAAAAATCCGCCAGCCAGGTATTAAAAAGTCACTGGGTTATTATTTAAATGGAATGTTTGCCTGAACGATGACATGTACCATTAACAGTAGTGGTCTTGCGGCCTGGGCGGATACCCGACACCCGGCACAGCTAATACCGAATACCCGGTTATTCGGTACCCGGAAAAAGCAGTATCTGATACATCTCTAGTTTTGACGGTAGATATAATAAATACCTAAAAACTTTCTAGCCTTGATAACATCTTACAAACGAACGCGAAACGTCGGTGTCGGTCTTGTATCAATCAAAACTTTACTTTTTTCCACGAAAAATAACGAAAAGTGTCTGGTGTTAACATTATTGATAAGATAAGCGAATTTAATTAGTATCACTAAGCAAATACTATTTAAAAATGATAAAGTTTTATCTGCCACAACGATGGCATGTAGATATTTTAAGTCAGCAGGCAGAATTTTTAAAAAAGTTAATTTGTTACTGTTTCATACTAAAATTAGAAAAATTGCTGGCTCCATTCCATTTATCTCTAAAACATTGTACAATTGGAAGAAATTGACAAGTTTATATAATGTAATAACATTGATCAAGCAACACTGGTAAAATTAGTATGTCATAGTATTTGAAAAATGTCGGTGTACCGAACATTCTTTACGCGAGATTTTTCCTTTTAGATCATACTTTTATGAGCATAGGTATATAGGTTTAATATAAAAGATATAAAAATGAGATATTCTTTCAAATATTTAGGGTAGTAGCTGCTACATGTTGAAACATATCCTTAATTATTAGAATAAAATGCATAAAGTTTCACAATTACAATAGACAATAACAAATTCACAATGGAATTAGAAACAAGCAATTCGTTAAACTTTTTAGACTTAATCATCAAACGCAAAAATTCCTAACATAAATTTAACATTTTTCATAAACCCACACATAAAGACATCATTATACAATACACGCACAATCTTTTCATCGGATGTCTGATAGGTAAGCGGCATTTAATTGCTTTATACGCCGATTAATTAATGTACCAATGTCAACAGATCAATATCAAATAGAATATATACAATTGCGACTAATAATGGTTACAAAACGGCAAATTATCAATAAAGAGTTCGAACTAAAAGCTGTGAACATAAATTTCCCATAATCAAACCCTAATAGATTCCATTGCTTTTCTTATTATGGAGATATATCGTTAAAAATTAGGATAATTGTAAAAAGTACAAACAGTGTTAGATAATAATCATAAATACTATCAAAAACGAGTGATTTTAAAAGACCATTGCTCAATATTAATTGTAGTAATTGTAAGAACCACCCCCATTCATGTAGTGAATATAAATAGATANATTTAAAAAAAGCATGTCTTATTGTTAGCTTTTAACATTTCACCCCTCTGGTCCCTTTTCATTGAAACAGTATTAAGTTCTTGTTATTATATTTTTACGAATATATTAATTTGCACTAATGACAACTACACTAAAATTATTAAGCAATATGTTGTGGCAACATTCACTTTGTATATCGAAGCTTGTAAATTTTAAATTATGATAAGAAATAATAACAGGCTTATCTTTCAATATTTCCTATTATAGTTAATTCCATTATTCTGTGTAGTCAATAATTGTGTCAAGATGTTATCGATTGATTTTTAAAAAAAGAAGTAGTTTATACTTTAACTTCTTTGTTTATAGAAGTTTATTTATACACTAAATTATATGTTTAGGTTGAAGAATTGGAACCAGTCTACCATATTCCGTATGAAACTAAATCACTTGAGCATTTTGTCCCAAACGATAACATAGACACCCATTTAGGCAATGGAAGTAGTTGGAATTTTGTTGAAAAAGACAATGTAAACTTTGACCCTATAATTAAAAAGGAAACAGAAGGTGAACCGTATAGTAACGATTTACAACCGCAAGGGGAAGAAGATCTATATCGCAATTATGAGTACATTAACCGTTTGATGAATAAAGCCAAACAGACCGAAGAGCTCACATCAGCCAACGACTTAAAAGATAATAATTCAGAAGAAGAAAATGATAAACTACTTGGTACAGGATATACGATTGATGAAGCAGATTCAGGCCAAATATTATATTGTAAACAAGAAGAAACATACGAACCCAAAGTCTTTAAAAATGATAACGTCGTCTACCCAGTTCCCGACCAAACACACCAACTAGAAGAAATTGTTCCGTACAATAGTGAAAATTTTGATTTTGAGCAGAGTATCAAATACGAATTTATTCACAGTCAGCAACTTATATATCCAGTTAAGATCAAAGATGACCATGTCGATGACAAAACATCAAATACAAAATACAGAGTTACTTCATACGATCCTAATATGACTGACGTAGACGACATGAAAATCTTGAAGCCATTCGATGAAAAATCAATTGGACTTCTACCCAATGAGGCTGACCTTCAATTAAGGACATCTGAAGGATTTTCAAGCTTGGACGACAATAGTGAACGATTGGGAGCAAATGATGAACAAAATCTTCAATATTTAGAAGACAAACCACTAAGAACAAACACTACAAATGATGAACAAGACGTGAATGTCTTCAAACCTGAATTGCAAGAAGGAAATAAATTTTCCCACAGGAAATTCACCAATCCTTTTCTTAACGATCAGATAAATATAGAGCATCAAATGGAAAAGAAATCGATTGATGAAGTGCAACAGTCTTCAGTTATTGCTCCCGTACCAAAACCCAGAAAGAATCCGCCAAAATCGAACAATTTTGACAGGGTTAATAATGATGGCTTACAAGGTGTTAAAAAGTCATCCCAAAATAATTTTAATAATATGGAGTCTCAATCAGCACATTCACAAAATACCTCAAACCCGGAAATTTACCATTGGGTTTTGGCGAAACCTAACCTAAATGACAACGGAGATGATGGAGCTGAATTGTCATACATACTAAATAAAGGTTATATCAGAAATCAACCACCACAAACACAAAGTGGAGACAATATTTGGATTAACAGTCAAAGCACTAATCTGGATGAGGTTCAAAGTTACTATAATGATGAAGATGTATTGTCTACATCCGGAAATACTTCAAGAATACCAGATGATAAAGGAAATCTAATAGAAATGGATATTTTATCAAAAGAAGAACCTACCAGGAGCAGCCTTCAAAGTGACTTCTCAATGATATCCTTTGGTGATTTGGATATGGATAGAAAATCCAAAGGCGATAGTTTGATTGATGGTGAAGGGGACTCTGTTACCAATGTATTCCAAGAAACTCAAACAGACAAAGGAATGCTACTTGATGAAACCACTTTTGTGAGAAAGCAGAATAAAAATCATGAACAAAAAGAAGATCTTTCTACCATACAAGACATCAAGCAAAAGGAAATCGAGTACAGACATACGCTTCCCAATAATTATCCAGCGAAAGCGACTCAAGTAAGTTTAAATTATGATACTTTACGAAAAGGAACATATGATGGTGATGATACAAAACAAGGAAAATCGGGTAATCAATCGAGTATTAAAGAAGAGGCTTCAGATGATGAAATGTATTATAACAAAGGGCTCAATTTTAATGAAGCACTTAAAATTCAGCCAGATAATTCTTTAATTGATTTAGATGGTACAGAATGTTTAAAAAATGAAGTAATTTCTGACACTTTTGATAAAAACGAATATCTTCACATTGATAGTAATGAAGAAAGCAACATAGATAATGCTAATGTACAGCCGATAACATTTGAATGGTTTCCTGATAAATCAAATGAATATCTCAGAAAGCCATTGCAAGCTTATTGTGAAATTCAAAAGTTGCCTGTAATAAGAAATGTTAATACATCTGTTATTTACTACGAACAGTTCCAATGTCCAACTGTAACTGAGAAAAAAGACGAAGAAAAGGAAGAAGAAGTATCTTATCAAGGGAATATAAGTTTTAAGAAGGAATATGCTGAAATCATGAGTAACAAAAACAACGAAGTAGATTTAAGAAATTCGTTAGTATTACAAGAACATACGGATTTAGAAAATATACAGTCCAATGTTTATCCTGTCCATACTTTGGAGGATCAAGACCAAGACGCATCCCGTCTAAATCCGCACTTCATACAAATACCAACGGAACATTTTTCGAAAGGTAATAGCGAATCACAGCAAGAAACTACAGTAAACAAGTTAGATGCACCTGCTGATATATTTCCTGTTTGCATAAAATTAGATTCATCTAAAACTTCAGAAGAAGAAAACGTACTCGATGAAGTAGCTGAACAATCAGAGGAAAGTATTAAAGAAACATTTCAAGACTATTCTGACAATTTCAATGAATTAAATGAGTTATCTCCCAATAAGGAAAGTATTTTTAATACTGTAAGTCACATTTCTATACCAAAGCGTGATTTAGTAACAAAATCATTCCAAGATAATGTCCTCGACAAAACCTTTGTGGATTATAGTAAAACTCATCATCAGGAAATGTCAGAGAATCTAATAACCGAGTCGAGGAATTATGACAAAATATCTACAGAGGATTTTAAGGAGACGAAACCGATACAAAACCAAGAAAGTACTGATGTAGATATTGATATCGATAATTCATCACTCACCAAATTTGCAACAACTGAGGCCGATGAAATGCAACAAAAGATTCTAGACTGCCCGTCCATCCTCCGTATATCTGACACAGAAAAAACTCAAAAACGTTTCAATCGTTTAAATCCTGTCGAAACGGATGAAAGTAGAACTAGTAAACGAGACACCCCAGATAATATAACTGAAAATAAAGATAGAGTAACTCCCCGAAGAACATTGAGTCAAATATTCAGAAATCGTCAGCAACATGTTAGACCAAAATCTGCTATGGAAACGGTGAGGAACGAGGAATTAAATTCATCTAGTAGAAGGACGAAGTCTAATCCAGAAGAAAAATCAGAAACCTCAAAAAATCCCAACAACCAAACATCAGACACTTATCTAAGGGGTTTATTTTCTAAAATATCAAACACAAAAGCGCTCAATACATTTGAAAAATCTTCTGCAAATATTACACCAGTTAATCGAAAATATATGTCGAAACCTGAAGGAACAATTTCTAGATTAGATAACGACGATTATAACTTTATAAATTCTAAAACAGAACAAACTGTTTTAGAAGACTATCCAGAAAATGTTAGTCATGAAGCCGTTGATAATCCTTTACATGGAACTTCTATTGAAAGGAAAACTTATACACTCGATAATTTTCGAGAAAACTCCATTGTGAAGGAAGAATCAGATGAAGAATTAGAACTGGAGAAAATATTTCAAGATTTGGATTTTATTTCAGAGAGAATTAAAAGTGTGAATGAAACAGACAATAATGTTAATGTGGATGATCTGTATATAGAACTACTAAGGATGCGAGTAGCTGTACATAAAATACAAAGAAAGAACTTTAATTACAATCTGATGAGCATGCAGCGGGAGGCGCTACAAATTATCAGATCTCTATTGAAGGATATAGAATATGCTAAACGGAGATAACACTTATTGCACTTGGTAAGATTAAGATATATATATATGCCATCCATTAAAAGGATTAAGACCAATACAAAGACTGGGATAGTCTTCGTCCTGATCTTGCTTTGGTCGTCACTGAAGTTTACATAAACATAGCAAAATAGATACAAAAATAAACCAAGCAATAGAAAATAGTTTTTTGTCAAACAGCATTTAAAATTATCTGCATCTGTAGCCCTTTGTGTTCTTTCGTTTAATTAGTTTGTAAATATGTGTATTATAGTTTTTATATGAACTAATGGAAACTTAGATATAAGTAATACTATAATAATCATCTACACGTGTAAATAGTGTTTGTTTGTGAACGAAATAAAGCATTTGAAAATATGGTTGCATGTGTAATTATTTTAGTGGAGTTGAGGTAATATAAGTCCTACAAAGGTAGAAAATATAAAGAAACTGAAACGGCTTCTAATTAACCAATTTCAGGTAATAAAGAACTAATTACCACGAGTTACAATCTTTATTAACATATTCACTTAGCTGGTATGTAGGTAGTTAAGTCATGTACATTGCTTCGGTAGTACGGTATTTGGTGACCGTACATGAAAACATATAGTTCATGTGGCCTGTGAACCTTTGTTAAACTAGCAGTTTTAGGTAGGCTACATATTTTTTGATTCAGTTTTTAGAGTTAAATATTGTCTGATACTCCTTTTGTTCGCTTCAATCTGTTATTAAAATTGTTATCTCAAGTTTTAATTTTTTTTAAAAAATTGACTTCAAGAGAATAACAACTTAATTATCTACGTATATACTGATCAATAGAACGGTCATCATCATCGTTAGTCCTAAGACTGGTTGGACACGCACCTCCACTCTTTCCTATCATGAGCTAATCTTCACATTTCCCTAAAACAAGAACATCCCACATCCTTAACTATTTGCGAACAGTAATGTAATTTAGGTCTACCTCTACCCCTCCTAACTCCCGTTTTTCCCTCTAATATGTCCCTGACTAAATCTTATTGTCTGAGAAGGTGTCCTACCAACCTATCTCGCATATTTCTTATCGACTTTCACAAAGTCCATGTTCTCCTATTCTTTCTAATACCTCTTCATTTCTAACCTTCTCTATCCACGGCATCCTCATCATTCACCTTTTCTTTTGCGCCGCGCCCACTGTCCATGTTTCGCACCCGTATAGCGCCGCGCTCCAAACATACACCTCTAACAATCTTTTTCGAATTTCAAAATTAACCTCTAGTGACTTCTTCTTATTGAAGATGACTCGACCCTGTGCTATTCTTATTCTCTAATCTTACGTCCCCCACCTTTATATTCGTTCTTGTCCTACTTTTTCTTCCTTTGCATACCAGTATTTTTGTTTTAATTTTATTTATTTTCATACAGTACTGATCTGTCAGTACCGCTTCCATTTTATTTAAAGCTATCTCTAACTCCTCCATGCTAGATGCTAATATTGCTATATCATCTACAAATCTAAGCATACCAAAACTTTGATTCTGTATAAAATAGAGCAATACTTTAAGGCATTTCTATACGTTAGATCTGACAAAAGAAAACTCAATTCTTTCACATACGTAAATATCATCGCTGATATCAAACCCCACGATTAACGAAAACAAAAAGTAATGAGAGTTAAATTTATCCACCCTTTTCTTACTCACAATTAGTTAACCATTTTTTAGTTCTCAGAATCTTTTTTAAAAGAGTTAATCTCTCTTCTTATTCCCTTACATTCATTTAAATCCTTATTTTCATCACTTTTACCATTTTTTCCGTACACAGATTATACTTATATACTCATGCATTCCTTTAATTGTTCTTGTTTCAAGTTTAACTTCTTTAAAGTTTCTTCATTTTATTTATTGTATCTGTAAATATAAGAAAACATTGTATTTTACGTACTTGCCAAAAGTTTATCGAATAGTTACAACAACGAAAAGCGTGAAAATCTGTTTACTCAATGACTGTGCAGTTTAATAGACACATTATAAAATAATTACCTATGTAGTATTACAACATTGCAACGCAAGTTAACATAAAAATGCAGATTAAAAGTCATTGAATATCAGATAATGTTTCTACGTCCTGTATCCATCTTTTATCTCTTTTCTCTTGAGATCAAGTGCACTTCTGCACGTCCTACGACGAAATCTGAATTACAAAGGGTTCGATTTTAAAATTGTAAACCTTGCAAAGAGAACTTTCATATAAGACATGGATGTATCATATATTTGACTTACGTATGCATTTTTATGCTATTTCGGAATGAAGAATTTTGATCACGGTTTTTTCAGTTAATATTACCACTTTACTGCAAATAGCAACTGATTCATTGGTGAAAAGATAATTTCATTTTTCAATGTTTTTGTTTTCGTCTAAATAATCTAAGGAAACAATTGAAAAATGTGAACCAGGTATTTGACATTTCCAATATTCATATGGTTGGCCGATTAAATGCTGTCCTCCTATTGGCCAGAAGCATTACACATGGGAATATGATCCAGTTTACAGAATCCGTTAATGGTGCAGTGATATCAGTGTTGGATTGACCCGCAATGGGCTCCGGACTATGTTCCAGGCCAATACTATACTTTCCTTTTTTTTAATTTATATTTGTTTTACCAATTTCTTTAGTTTGGTTGCTTAGCATCATAAGGTTGCGGTAGAAAAAGGCAACACGAATGGAGTGATTAATTATTAATTATTCATTTTAATGAGCATAACTTAAACTCGTCATAACTTAAACTCATCATAACCTAAATATATAAATACGTATTTTTATCTATGCTAATCAATATAAAATTTTGATTAGTACCTAAATGTTGTCACTTGTCAACCGCCGAATTCAAAATTATGTGTTTGAGCTACGTACATGTATTATCTCTGATAAGATACTGAGATTTTGACATCTTTTTCAGTCTGTAGAGTCTGTGGTTTTCTTTTAGTTAACAGATGCTGCAGTTACGATATGTTCACTACTAAAAAGTTATTGTTTTTCTTTTTCACAACAATAATCATTTATCTTTTGTATACACATTTTACGACTGGTGAAAATGGTAAGTGATTTACTCTTTTCTAATAGCAATTTGATTTGTTAAATTTAGGGTAGAGACAAACTACATACACAATCATATATTACGTATACACTGCCACAGGAAAGGATCAAGTCAAAGCAGTTTCCTAATACATCGGTTGGTGGACTATCAGAAAGGATTAAGAATTTGTTTAAAAAGTATTATGCAGTAGAACCTCTATAACTCGAACATCAAGGGAGGCGCCAAAAATTCGACTTTTAGAGGATTTTGACTTGGGCGGATTTTGATTCGACTTGTAGAGGTTGGTTAAAATTTGGTGTACTTACATTTTTAGCGAATCGTTAAAATCGATAACTTAGTTTTCTTCGAACTATAGACGTAATAATTTTCAAATTATCAAGTTGTAAAGGTTGTAAAATAAAACATTGCTATGTTCGAGATACAGAGGTCGTATTTAATTTTTCGAGTTATAGAGGGAAAGATTGTTAAATTTTTGAAGGAAGTACAGTATCGGCTATACAATATTTTGCAAAGTATTAAGATGAGTATGTTTGAAGTACGGCGCTGTACAGCTGCGAAACATAGACAGTGGGCGCGGCGAAAAAGAAAACGTTAGAAGCCTTCGAAATGTGGTGTTATAGGCGGATGATGAGGATAACGTAGGTAGAAAAGGTTAGAAATGAAGAAGTATTAGAAATATTAGGAGAACAGAGGACTCTATGGAAGTCAATAAAGAATAGGCGAGATAGGTTGGTAGGACACCTTCTCAGGCATGAAGGTCTAGTCAGAGACATATTAGAGGCAGAAACCGGAGTTAAGAGGGGTCGAGAGAGACCTAGGTTAACAGTAAATAGTCAAGGATGTGGGTTGTTCTAGTCTAAGGAAAATACGAAGTTTAGCTCAGGATAGGAAAGAGTGGAGGTATGTGTCCAACCAGTCTTAGAACTGACGACCTTATGATGATGATGAGAGGGAAAATATGTATCAAAATGGCTTGCAGGGACTCACTGAGTATTTCGACTAATAAAGGGTTATGATTTCGATTAATGGAGATTTTGGGGCTTGGAGGGAAGGGAACAAAACATTTTTTTGAATTTTCGAGGTTTTCGACTTATCGAGGTTCGACTTAAAGAGGTTCTACTGTATTTATATCACCTTTAAACATTATAACATCAGTACTAATTTATATTATAAGAATAAAACAAAAGCAACTACCTTCTAATCTTATCGTTAGAAAAAACCGAGAAAAAACAAATCTAATAGCATTTCATGATCAGAGCGGACACATTTACAATTATGCTAATATCAAGAGCGTCGACAATCGTCTGATCAAAAATCCGCCAGCCAGGTATTAAAAAGTCACTGGGTTATTATTTAAATGGAATGTTTGCCTGAACGATGACATGTACCATTAACAGTAGTGGTCTTGCGGCCTGGGCGGATACCCGACACCCGGCACAGCTAATACCGAATACCCGGTTATTCGGTACCCGGAAAAAGCAGTATCTGATACATCTCTAGTTTTGACGGTAGATATAATAAATACCTAAAAACTTTCTAGCCTTGATAACATCTTACAAACGAACGCGAAACGTCGGTGTCGGTCTTGTATCAATCAAAACTTTACTTTTTTCCACGAAAAATAACGAAAAGTGTCTGGTGTTAACATTATTGATAAGATAAGCGAATTTAATTAGTATCACTAAGCAAATACTATTTAAAAATGATAAAGTTTTATCTGCCACAACGATGGCATGTAGATATTTTAAGTCAGCAGGCAGAATTTTTAAAAAAGTTAATTTGTTACTGTTTCATACTAAAATTAGAAAAATTGCTGGCTCCATTCCATTTATCTCTAAAACATTGTACAATTGGAAGAAATTGACAAGTTTATATAATGTAATAACATTGATCAAGCAACACTGGTAAAATTAGTATGTCATAGTATTTGAAAAATGTCGGTGTACCGAACATTCTTTACGCGAGATTTTTCCTTTTAGATCATACTTTTATGAGCATAGGTATATAGGTTTAATATAAAAGATATAAAAATGAGATATTCTTTCAAATATTTAGGGTAGTAGCTGCTACATGTTGAAACATATCCTTAATTATTAGAATAAAATGCATAAAGTTTCACAATTACAATAGACAATAACAAATTCACAATGGAATTAGAAACAAGCAATTCGTTAAACTTTTTAGACTTAATCATCAAACGCAAAAATTCCTAACATAAATTTAACATTTTTCATAAACCCACACATAAAGACATCATTATACAATACACGCACAATCTTTTCATCGGATGTCTGATAGGTAAGCGGCATTTAATTGCTTTATACGCCGATTAATTAATGTACCAATGTCAACAGATCAATATCAAATAGAATATATACAATTGCGACTAATAATGGTTACAAAACGGCAAATTATCAATAAAGAGTTCGAACTAAAAGCTGTGAACATAAATTTCCCATAATCAAACCCTAATAGATTCCATTGCTTTTCTTATTATGGAGATATATCGTTAAAAATTAGGATAATTGTAAAAAGTACAAACAGTGTTAGATAATAATCATAACTTTAAATTACAAAAATTTATGAAGACAACATAAAGGTTTACTAAAAATTAATAGATACTATCAAAAACGAGTGATTTTAAAAGACCATTGCTCAATATTAATTGTAGTAATTGTAAGAACCACCCCCATTCATGTAGTGAATATAAATAGATATAAAAATCAGTTAAGTTTGCGTAGAGAGCAACATGGTCTAGAGGTTTAGACCTTTAGCTTACCAATTCCAGGTTCATCTACCTTGGTCCAAGTTTTTCTGTGGTTTGCTTGGATCACTTAGGCAAATGCTGAGGCAGTAATATTCCACAGATAATCTTTCATTCTCCTCTCTCTTCATTTCTTCCGTCTCATCTTTCTCACCTGAACCGCCACCCACCTATTCCCACGATTCCTGAAAGGAGGCTGAAGAGTGCCTTCCGCCCTACCTGCAGGCGTAGTCCGGAGGGACTGCTCGCCCACCAGCATTACTGGCTGGTGGGAATGAAACATCCAAAAGTTTTTTTTTTAGTATTCAGCACCTGCTGATGCCACTGTGTGGCGAAACATATTGTATTGATTACAATATTCAATTTTGTGAAGCTTTATGTGTTTTATTTTAATAAGTAAGAATTCAGTACCTAAAGTGATTGCCATAATTTTTATACTAATGATCATCCAAAAAAACGGTGAACGTTTGTTCAACTTTTTTGAAATTATATGGAAGAAATGTTTTATTGAAGATTTTTTTGGAAATTTAAGTAAAATAAAAGTATACTCAAAACAGTATTTGGTCATGCCGAATACGTGTAACTGCCTATTGTGGTATTAGGTTAAATTGTACCTAATCCATGAAATAATCATCAGACTTGCCGATTTCAAGTAAGAGCCAGGTCTAGGTCTACCTCTACTTCCCTTATTTCATGGAATAGTTATTCTTTAATACAGTTTTTAAACAAACAGGTTTTCGTTCGTGTTGTCTTTTCCTACCCTAACTTTATGATCCTTTTAAAAGTCTTCAGTTAATTCGCCTGAACTATAATCTTTTGTTTCTGTACGTTTATCCCTAAAGCTGTCCTGTCTTTAATAATATTAATATAAGTATATGTTACCGGAAATGTATGAAATCTAGGGATTGTATAAGATTGTTATTAATGAAATGTGCCTAATATAATTTATCTCACACAATTCCGGGCGATATTAGGAATCATAATATACATTTTCTAGGAATTGTATACAATGACGTTTTACACACATTTCCGTTAACGTATAGGTACATATTAATGGCATCTTCGGAAAAAAAATTAAAATGTAGCGGTGGAAAAATGTGCTAGCTTGTCTAACTCATCCTTTATATTGAACAAAGGATGATTTCCTTTTATATACTTCGTTGTTAAAAGAAAAGCTCTTAATAGGAACCACACGTTACATTTACCACTTTACATTACTTTTAGAGTCATTTATTAAATCAAAATCAGTGAACAACTACGAACATTGTTATTTTTCTGATTTTACTTACTTCCGCTAGATTTCAACAGGACTGTAAAGTCGATTAGAAAACATATCCCTCCAGTTCTGCAGAATGCTTCAGATGTTAACTCAGGAAAGGCATCAAATCATTCACAATGTCCTCAAGGAAATATCATAACAGTCGGAACTACTACTTATAGTGGATTGGGGAATAAGATATGGGAATACATGTCAGTGTTTTCTGCGTACAATTTATACAGAAATACCTTTAATTTACAAGCTTTTGTACCACAGGAGATTAAGCAGAAAGTTGAAAAAATTTTTGACAGGTAAAAATAATTGTGTCCTCTTTAATTTAATAAAAATAATCACCATACGGGGTGTTTCTGTAATAGGGAATCGCAAAGTGTGGTTAAGAAAACCAGACAAAATTGCAATCAGAAGTCGGTCCTGAAGTGTGAATAGTCAACGTATAGCGAAATTGCGATAACAACTAAGTAACTACATCGATGAAAAATGTAAACAGTGCCGGTTGTGGAACGACTAATAAAATAAATATCAAAACCTTACTACTACGTTATTACACATATAAATCTTTGGTCATTGCGATGACAATCAATTAAATAACTACTTTGTTCATCCCTGATAATATGCAGTTATATTTAAAGTACACCTCGACATGCTATTGGAAATACAAAATAATAAATAATTAACGTTATGTCAGCAGCAATTATCATCATCATCATAAGGTCGTCAGTCCTGACACACGATTGGACTCCACTCTTTCCTTTCCTGAACTAATCTTCGCATTTCTCTAAAAATCGAACATCTTACATCCTTAACTTTTTGCGAACAGTAATGTAATCTAGGTCTACCTCTACTTCCCTTAACTCCTGTTTCTGCCTCTAATATATCTGTGACTAGACCTTCATGCATGAGAAGGTATCGTACCAACCTATCTCTCCTATTTTTTTATTAACTTCCGTAAAGTTCTCTGTTCTCTTATTCTTTCTAATACCTCTTCATTTCTAAACTTCTCTATTCGCGGTATCCTCATGATTCGCCGGTAACACTACATTTCGAACGCTTGTAACCGTTTCTTTTCCGCCGCGCCCACTGTCCATGTTTCGCACCCGTACAACGCCGTGCTCCAAACATACACCTTCAACAATCTTTATCGAATTTCTAAATTAATCCTTCGCGAGCATAGAAGTGACTTCTTTTTATTGAAGGCGACTCGATCCTGCGCTACCGTCTGCTTTATATCCCTACTACTCCTTCCATTTTGACTTATTTGACTTCCTAAATAGCTAAAATCAGTTACTTCTTCTAATCTTTCATTCTACATTCGCTCTTTCCTTTCCTTTTCTTCCCTTTCATACCAACATTTTTTTTACTTTTATTTATTTTCATACAATACTCCTTTGTCAATATCGCTTCCATTTTATTAAAAGCTATCTCAAACTCATCCTTGCTCGATGCTAATACTACTATAGTCAACAGTAATACGTAAATTAAGATCCTCTAGATAGGTAACAGTAATTTTATTAAATTTCCAAACCACCATTGATGTATTGCCAAAGTGTGTTACGTCCGATATTTGGCGTACTTCATTTGCAGCCATAATACACGGTTGCCCAAATCATGACCATTCTGCACTGATTTTTGATGCACGCGCTGTTTCATACAACCCCAAACAAAAAACTCAAATGGATTTAGACTACGCGCCAGCCAAATCACAGGACCCGTACCTCCAATCCAGCGTCTAGGAAAATGTATTCATCTCGAAACTCAACACAATAATACTATGCTGCACTAACCTATGATCCTTGCTTTATTATGCGATATCACCTCATGCAAGCTTGCTACTTTCAGAAACACCATGTATGTACAGTAGATAATATTGTAGTATAGGTATTTGTGACTCACAATATGACCTAAAAACCTTAAAAATTGCAGAAAACCGATAAAAGATGCGGAAAATTCGGTAAATGCGATCAATTTAGCTTTTAAAAGGCAAGCATTTTAAACAATTCTGTTAAGACTTTATTAACCGATAATACAATCGCAGAAAACAAATTCAAACTGTAGTTATGTCTATTAATTTAATAATGAATGGGTCATTGAGCCTATTATTATCAATTTCCAAGACCAACCTACTATCTATTTTATCTATGGCCAGCGCCATAGGCTTATGATTGTACTCATGTATTAAGTGGCTTAGTTCAATTAGAATGTAATTATAATAAAAATTTTCATAATAAAATATATTTTAATAACTCTCACAAAAACAAGTAAATTAATTTCGAAAATATGGATTAAATTATTTCTTACTATAAAATCTTCACATTTTTATGAGTAAATAAATGGTTAAAACTTGCTTCTTAATTTAGTTACAAAAATGTTCGAATGAATTCACTTCTGATTACATTTGTGTAATTACATTAATCTAAACAGTGTTGAACTAGGTAATACATACAGCAATTTTATCAAAATAAACTTGAAACGATTTTTCGGAATAATTACATATCCAAGGGTGCGATTTTTTATTTCCAGTATTAGCTTGCCTGTAATTGAAGATATTCCTATGGATTGTCATATACAACAAAGACAAAACATTACTATAGATTACCACAGTCTCATTTCAGAAGACAAAGTACCAAAAAATGAAAAAATATTGATTCATTTGTTGAAATGGTCCGCCAAATATGAGTTTGTTGTACCTTTTGGATTTGAAAACATCAAAAAAGAACTAAGGTAAATTATATCTAATGGAATCTATATTACGAAATTGAATTGATTATCTGCTACGGTTAGTATGCTTACTTTGTAAAACATACAAATATTGGATAGTATACCTCACATTATGAGTCTAAGTACATCCGTCAAACTAGAGATTTGGACAGTTTGCATACTAGCACTAGTTTACAAACAAGCCACCAGGTAAGCACATTAACCACAACTTTTTTTACTATATCAACGACATGCTGCAACTCTAGAGTCTAAACTGTTTAATTAATAATATTGTAATATATTCAGATCGTTGTTTCATATGGACTAATATATCAATCACTTTTTTAATTACAATTAAACAATATACAAGGAAAACAAGAAAGTAGAATTCCAACATGCCCGCACATTAATTTTGGCGTTTGTTCAGGATAGTTACTAGTTACTTTTAATTGCAAATTTAGTCCACAGAAAAGTGGTTAGAAGAAGGTAGTCTAATTCGCACCACTTTTAATATTTTTGGTATTTAACCGAGGTTCCGAAATCGTACCGCTACCCGAGATAAAAATGTTCAGTCTCTCAGAGTCTCTGAAAGCGAGACTCTAGTCTCCGTCTCTCATCGAGTCTCTCTGGTGTCGCTGAGAGAGACTGTCGAGAGACTGTCAAAAAAACTGTTTAGCGTCTCTGAACGAGAGACTCGAGTCGCTCATAGAGAGATCCTCATTTCGTATCCAGTCTCTAAACGAGAGACTCGAATCTCTGAACGAGAGATTCGAATCTCTGAACGAGAGACTCGAATCTCTGAACGAGAGATTCGAATCTCTGAACGAGAGACTCGAATTTCTGAACGAGAGATTCGAATCTCTCAATAAGTGGTGCCTCGATAGACATGGTTAAAATTTTCTAAGTTCAACATGTTTCAGAGATCCCAGTTTTTCTACGAGAGACTCGAGTCTCTCAATTTTTCACTTTTATTCATTCAATCTCTCTGTGAGAGACTCGAATATCTGAATTAACAACTTTATCATTCGAGTCTCTCATACAGAAACTGTGAGAGATCCATAAAAACACCCAGGCATAACTGAGAGACTGTGAATGACTGTGAGGGACACTCTCAGAGACGCTGAAAGACTCTGAAAGATTCTGAGAGACTAGAGAGAGACTGAAAATTTTTGTCTAAGGTACTAAAATTACGTTCCACAAGCTGGTACGATTTTTAGAGTTTGGATAAGTTTCCACACTTTCTATTTCAAAAAAAGGTTGTCAAATTTTTCAATATAATACAGCTTCAAAAATCTTAATCCTTATCATGTAAATATAACATTAGCGTGCGCCAAAACAGAGCAATATACGTTTCAATGCTGTTGTAAATTCAAATTAATGATGTTACATGCTATGGGCTTCTGAGAGAATAGCACTTCTGTTTTTAACCAATAAATAATGGCAGATGTTCTAAAATAATGAAAATTGAAAAGTTCCGATTTAGAGGCCGGTACAAAATAAGTTTCATTCCCCTATATCAGCGCTGTCCAACTTATCATAGCCCGCGGGTCATTTTTCTATCACCAAACATTTCGGGGGCCAAGAAGATTTATAAATGTAAAGTCAGTTTATGTTAATTAAAAAAATATTTTATTTATACTAAAGATAAAACTCTAAAATATTCGTAATTTATTAACGAGAACATTGTGGCCGTAATTGTTTAGCAACAATATCTTTTNGCTATTTCGGAATGAAGAATTTTGATCACGGTTTTTTCAGTTAATATTACCACTTTACTGCAAATAGCAACTGATTCATTGGTGAAAAGATAATTTCATTTTTCAATGTTTTTGTTTTCGTCTAAATAATCTAAGGAAACAATTGAAAAATGTGAACCAGGTATTTGACATTTCCAATATTCATATGGTTGGCCGATTAAATGCTGTCCTCCTATTGGCCAGAAGCATTACACATGGGAATATGATCCAGTTTACAGAATCCGTTAATGGTGCAGTGATATCAGTGTTGGATTGACCCGCAATGGGCTCCGGACTATGTTCCAGGCCAATACTATACTTTCCTTTTTTTTAATTTATATTTGTTTTACCAATTTCTTTAGTTTGGTTGCTTAGCATCATAAGGTTGCGGTAGAAAAAGGCAACACGAATGGAGTGATTAATTATTAATTATTCATTTTAATGAGCATAACTTAAACTCGTCATAACTTAAACTCATCATAACCTAAATATATAAATACGTATTTTTATCTATGCTAATCAATATAAAATTTTGATTAGTACCTAAATGTTGTCACTTGTCAACCGCCGAATTCAAAATTATGTGTTTGAGCTACGTACATGTATTATCTCTGATAAGATACTGAGATTTTGACATCTTTTTCAGTCTGTAGAGTCTGTGGTTTTCTTTTAGTTAACAGATGCTGCAGTTACGATATGTTCACTACTAAAAAGTTATTGTTTTTCTTTTTCACAACAATAATCATTTATCTTTTGTATACACATTTTACGACTGGTGAAAATGGTAAGTGATTTACTCTTTTCTAATAGCAATTTGATTTGTTAAATTTAGGGTAGAGACAAACTACATACACAATCATATATTACGTATACACTGCCACAGGAAAGGATCAAGTCAAAGCAGTTTCCTAATACATCGGTTGGTGGACTATCAGAAAGGATTAAGAATTTGTTTAAAAAGTATTATGCAGTAGAACCTCTATAACTCGAACATCAAGGGAGGCGCCAAAAATTCGACTTTTAGAGGATTTTGACTTGGGCGGATTTTGATTCGACTTGTAGAGGTTGGTTAAAATTTGGTGTACTTACATTTTTAGCGAATCGTTAAAATCGATAACTTAGTTTTCTTCGAACTATAGACGTAATAATTTTCAAATTATCAAGTTGTAAAGGTTGTAAAATAAAACATTGCTATGTTCGAGATACAGAGGTCGTATTTAATTTTTCGAGTTATAGAGGGAAAGATTGTTAAATTTTTGAAGGAAGTACAGTATCGGCTATACAATATTTTGCAAAGTATTAAGATGAGTATGTTTGAAGTACGGCGCTGTACAGCTGCGAAACATAGACAGTGGGCGCGGCGAAAAAGAAAACGTTAGAAGCCTTCGAAATGTGGTGTTATAGGCGGATGATGAGGATAACGTAGGTAGAAAAGGTTAGAAATGAAGAAGTATTAGAAATATTAGGAGAACAGAGGACTCTATGGAAGTCAATAAAGAATAGGCGAGATAGGTTGGTAGGACACCTTCTCAGGCATGAAGGTCTAGTCAGAGACATATTAGAGGCAGAAACCGGAGTTAAGAGGGGTCGAGGTAGACCTAG